GGGGGGGGGGGGGGGGGGGGGGGGTGGCAAAGCATGGCAAAGCCATTCGAGCGCTTAGGCTTTGATAGATCACAGTGGCCCAGATGGCAAAGCCATAGCTGTTATGGACCGCGGGACTGGCAGCGCTTCCGTTCCTCCTCATCGAAAAAGCTGGCTTGCTCATGTTCTCTTTTTGGCGCAGGAGGCTGCTGCGATCATGATCTACCTGGTCGAGAAGCAGGGATCCGATTTCTACCCAAGGGATGCGAGGTGATCTCTCCCATTTTTTTCAAAGTCCGGAGAGCCTCGTTGAAACTTTCTCGGAAGTCAGAGGCTTCGCTGCGAGTGCTTGCAGTGGCTGTTCTGGCAAACTGGTGGACAGGGGCCGGGGGCCCATTTGGGCTCTGCTCTGCTCTTTTTAGGGTTCCCAAGACTCTCTATATGTGCGCCAAGAGAGGCCGATGACTGGGAATTTCGGTCACTTCAAAGTCTATGCACCCCCCAATGAGGCTCGAAGCTCGGCTATTTTTCTCCAATCTCTGACTTCGCAGCTTTTCCATCAGGCGGATGCTCGCAACTATGGTGTTGCCAGATACGGCATGGAGGCACAGCTCCCACCCGGATCACCATCTTCGGAGAGATGTCGTGCCAAAGGTTCAGAGAATTTGCTCTGTTCTGGCTGTCGCCTGAGCTGTCGCAGGCTGCATAAAAAAAAGGGCAATGCGAACACAAGCCAAATACACACTGCCTGCAGTCTAGAAAATGTCTCCACATGCTAGTCTCCTTTGCCTCGTGTTACGGCCTCTGGCTGTTACACAACTTGTAGCGTGCTGAGGATCGGCACCTTGCAGGCTATGGAGATTTCACGGCAACCCGGGTCTGCGATGCCAAGGCACTTACGGCTGTAGCCTTCCAATATACAGACCTCCTGTCAGTGCGGTGTCCGATATCGGCACATTGGAGGCCCCCGGCAGTACCTCGCCAGAAGCTCAGCCGACACACGCCAATTCAATGCTTGTGCTGCACGCGTATTCATTCTTCCACCAATCGAGACCGAGGTTGGTGACAGCTATAGCATCGCCGACATGGCCCAGAGCCAAGGAACACGCAAAACACTGACGAACTCTTGCTGCGAGAGTGCGAGTGTGGAGCTTTGCCTTGTCAAGTCCTGCACAAGAAAGGCCTGCTTTCCCTGGGCCTTCATGTTGTGGGGCCGGGTGCTGAAAGTGGTGAGTGGTTAATTATCATCTCTAAATCTTCCTACGTAGCAGAGTTGAAGATCCGGCGCCAGGCAAGGGTTACAATCGCCCTGGACAGCCAGATGCGAAGGATCGCATCTGTGGATGTTCAGCTGGAAATATGGACAAGCCCTTCCTGTCACACTGCCATCACACAAAGCAGGACTTTCTGAATGTGCACCAGTATACTCACCTCAAAGCTTGGGTTGCAGCAAGCTAAGCTTGAAGACACTTGGCTGACGGCCTTGCTATCACATCGTCGTTGTGCTCTGCCCAAGGACCGAGTAGCAGAGAGACCAGCGGTGCAGCGTGGCATCCGAGTTTGTGCCAGGGACTAGGACGAAGCCTCTTTCAATGGGATCGTCTGCCTTGACCTCGGTGACCCTCCGCAGGCCGGTTCGCCGAAGCCATGGGAGAAGGAGACCGCCCGCACATCCTTTGTTGCCCGCAGTTGAGCTGCGAGACGCTGGGGGATGTCTGGCCCTGTTTCAGGAGTCCAGTAAGTCCAGGCTGTAGCATCGGGCGTAGCTCGGAGCAAAAAGCTCCTGGGAGCTGGAAAAGTGCCGAAGAGTCTTGTGCTGAAGTGCAGTTTGCAGCACCTCTAAGAAGCCATGATCCTTTGCACGTGTGTTCTACTTGGGCAGCTCCGGAGGTAGACGCCGCTGCACATGCTGAAGAAAAGCAAGAGGCGTCATTCTCATCACAATGTGTTGCAAAGCTTTACCTCTAAGCTCCGAGCTCGTTTGAAAGAGCGGCGTTGCTGTTCCCTGCAACGAACTAAACCTTTTCAGAAGCACGGGAGCACGGGCACTCTGGGAGGATGCAGCGGACGAGTGCAACGCTTGGGCCCTCAAGACATTCAAAGTTCTGTCGTGGGAAATGAGCGGTTCTCAATTTGTTCCTGCATCAGTCTATGCTTCTACCAAGGACATAGACGACAATGACGACATCGACTTCGCAGCATTGACCGAGGCTGTTGCCCGAGGGAAGGGAAAGCAGAAGCGGATCAGCCCGTGATGTGCATGTGCAGCATTGTGCAGCCGAAGGCCCAACACCAAGCTGCCACTTTGACAGGCGCAGCGGACGATCGTCGTCTAAAGCCAAAAGACTTTTCGGGCCGTGAGAGCTCGGGTACCTGCCCAGGCGACGGCGATGTCGTCGCAGCCTGAGAGCTGATCCCATGAGCTGTGCCTGAGCGCAGAGCATCGCAGAGCGACGGGTTCAGGATCGGAAGAAGAGGAGAGCTGGGGCCAGGGAGTCCGCACCTCAAAGCCGCTGGTGGTCTCCTTCACGGTGGTTTGAGTTTCGGATATCCAGGTCTGCAAAGCGCCGCAAGAGGCAAAAACGAACCCGCCTCGGAGATGAGACTGTGGCTGACCATGGATCTGCTTCTTCTGTTCTCTGCGGATGAGCTGAGGTGAGAACGATCTCATATGCGTCAAGCAAGCTGGCATTGTGCTACCCCCAAGATTTGCTTTTTTTTTGGGCTGGTGCGGGTTCATGGTTAGACCTGGAATTTGTGCGCCTCTGGAGGCACTTCCCTCCCTGAAAGATGTCTTGAAAGGGTCCAGCAAGCCAGCTCTGAACTCAGCGGAGTCCAACGATTCAGACACCACAAGGACCTTTCGGTTTGTGCTTGGCAGGCGATTGTCATCCCGTCACTGAAGGAGGCGCGTCTATTTCAGAAAGCAGAGGAAGGCATCTGGTTCAGTTTGCTTCGTGCGTGGTGGACTTCTGAGGCTCTGCGAACAGCCGGAGCCGCCCAGGCGACGGCTGAAGTCCCTGAGCCTGCAAAGGCATCGGGCCCTGTGAGCCGATCGCTCTGTGCTCTGGGCATATCTGGCAGGCACGTGAGAAGGACATGCAGGAGCAGAGCGCGCCTGCCAGCGAACCTTCTGAGCTTCCTCCAACGACAGATGGAGGCGGGACTGTGGCCCCGAAACAAGATTGATCGCTGCCGTGTGACGTTCATGCTCCCCGTTAGCACGCCAAGGCCGCCCCTGCGGCCCTGCAGGTGAGACAGAGAAGTCTCTGGCGCAGAGGAGTGCCGTTTCCTACGAGGCTCGGGCTCGGAAAACGGCAGTTGACGAAGCTGAATGGACCTTCGGCGTTTCGCAGCGGGGGATGAGGATGTCGATGAGCCAGTTGCTGCTGAAGCCCCGGCTGCCAGCTCAGATGTTGCACCCCGGCAGCAATGGCAGGTGCAATCCTCAAACTCGGTTGTGAAAGTCCGCATGCATCCGCAATGAAGCATTGCTGGCTCCCATACATAGATTTGCTGTCGATGCTTTATACGCTTTGTACATATATTCAGATCACACTCGAGATGATCGCATCTGACTCTGCACCGTTGCGGTTCGTCAGACTCAAGGCCATCAACCCTAAAGACCACACCTTGAAACCCTTAAACCCCGTACCCCCCCCCCCCCAAACCGCCAAAAGGCGAAAGCCCACGGAGCCTTCAACGCTAAGACATCCCGAAGCCGCAAACATCCACCCTCCACGACCAAAGCCTCAACGCTAAACTCTAAACTCCCAAACCCTAAATCACACTAAACCCTAGAGCCTAAACCCCAAATCCTAACCCCGTAAAAGTAGAATCCAAACCCCAAAAGAAAAGCCCCAAGAGGTGGACCAGAGCAGGCTCCAGGTCGCGATCTCGCGGGTCGCCAAAGACTCGGAGCGGCGGGCCCGGACCCCAGCAGCGCTTTGGGTTTTTTTGGTTTAGGGTTCAGGGTTTGGGGTAATGCTGATCCTCAAAACAGCAAGAACAAGAGCAGTAAAGAGAAGAATCGCAAGAATTCTGCTAATCTGAATGTTCATATATGCTCTCGGTCCCGGGCCACCCCCCCGCCCCCCCCCAACCCCCCACCCTCTGGTACCCCACCCTCGCCAGCCAGTTGGGGTGTCGCCTGCGCGCGGATTCTCCTATGGTACCCAACCCCTTCTCCGTTTAGAAAGCGGCAATCTGCGCAGTAGTTTCCCGCATCAGACGTGAATTACAATGCTTAATTAAGTATGAGGGTTGCACTTGGGTTCCAGAGCCCAGATGTTGCGGCCACTCACAGCAAGCCCGACTGGACTACTAGTATTAGCTTGCAGTTCACGGTCTTTGCGTCCATCCTGTCGTAGCCACAGCCCGCGTGGTGGCAGTATGCACGTTGAAGCAACTTCACCTTGGAGCTCGCAACACTAAGGCCCGAGTCGCGAAGGCAGAGATGCGAGTTCAGCTAAGACAGTCCAGGGCACAGCATCATCGCGTGTGACCGAAATCGTCCTATTGCAAGCCAGTGCAATTCGCCTCTGCACGCTCGAAGGCAAATAGGTTGACGTGTGGATGTGAGTCTTGGTCCAGTTTTGCCTGACAGGCAACAAACTCGCGTTCGGTGTTCATCACCAACCTGCCATTCAAGGCGCGACCTTTCAAACAAATCCGCAGTCCTCAACACCTTGTGATGCGTTTGCTCAACTTCCGTGAGGCACAGGAGGAGGAGATTCGCAGCTGGCTGGAAAAAGCCGGTGAGATCAAGGGTCTCCGGCTCAACCGGGACAAGGCCGCAAAGTGCATGGATGTGGCGGCAACATGTCAACAGCGGCAAGGGCAAGGGCGCAGTAGTGCACGAAACAGATTTGCGCAGCAAGCAGCAGGCTTCTGCCTACTGAAACAGCAACATGGGGTTTATCCGCCAGCATTTTGACAGTGTACCCTTTTCAGACCGTTGCACTCTTGGGGTTAATCCTGTCCCCGCTATGTCTACGGTCTCGCGTCAGAAGACACCGAAGGTCACCACGAAAGCGCTGGGCTTTGGACACGTGCAGCCTGGACCTACGTGTTTGCTGCATCACTACGTCAGCACTGCATGCCACCCTTAGTGTACCCAGTGTTTCGTCACCGCATCACCGTACATCATTAGGGCTCGGTTGTTGCCATGGCTAGTCTGCCGTTCGACCAGGGTGCTCCATATGTAGCTTTGTTTGCACTCTACGATGTTATGCTGTTCAGGTTCGAGTCCTCACAGGTTGCAGACGCTGCTGTCGAACAGCCCTTGACCGAGTTGCTCCGAGCATTGGGACTGTTGGTGCCTCGCTCGCTGTCCCATGTGGCACGAAAGGTGTGACAAAGTGGAGCTGCATGGACGCGTGATGCGAGTCGCGCCGGTGGATCCCAACACAAAGCCCGAAGCTTACTCCGGGACGCATGGTTCTCGTTTTCGGGAGCCTGTATGTCGATGCAGCTTGCCATAGTCAAGCGGTGTTCTAGGTTTCAGTTTGAGCTCCCGGAGAACATCAAGGACAGAAACATGACACATGTGCTTGTGAACAACTCTCAGGCTCTATCTAGACTTCGACTTGCGCTCATTCAAGACCATCGTGGGGAGAAGCGGAGCATTACATGTATTCAGTCGACTTCGGTGTTTTGCACCGCAAGCTAGCAGCTTCGACATGAAAGACAAGAATTGCACCGAATGGGAATGACCGGCGGTTTTTGTCAAAGTACAGCAACGCTCAGATTTGCTGACCTTCAGGAGGACCTTCTAGGCCTAATGCGCGAGGCTCGTACCCCAGAGATGATGCAAGTTGCAAACCAGGGTCGGGCCACCGGGCCACTGCTGGAGTCAGGCATACGAAGGCAAGAACATCAGCACCATCAAGGACTCCATTCGCATGGAGCAGCCAGAAGGAACTTGCCGAAGTTTTGGAGGATGCCTGGCAAAAGCGACATCCAGGACAAAAGCTGGACACCGCCAAGTCCATGGCTCAATTCAAGCCGTGCTGTTTCTGGGAGAACTTTGAGAGTTGATGTTAGGGAAGTCAAGCATGCAGTCGAGGTGGGGTTTCAAGAACTTTTCGTCTTCCCTGAAGACCTTGGAAGGCAGGAAAAACACAGCGATCACGATGTAGTGTGGAATGCAGCGATTGCAAGGCGTCACGCTGGAGCACCACTTGGAAAAGACTCTGACGTACTTGGCTTTCTTTGACGGCTCTCCCGCGCACAAGGCCTACCTCGAGGAGTTCGGGTTTTGGATTTCGTATCATAGCTGCCCCGAAACGCGAGCCGTACCAGCACAGGAGAGATCCAAGAGACAAGCGGAGGGCAAAGTGGCTGAAAATCCTGGCGAGGCATCGTGCCACAGTTCAGATGCATTATCCCTCCTTGCTTTCCTTGTCCAGCGTTTGTTGCTAGTTGTCCTTCTCGAATTGAACATTGGGAGTACTTAACCAGCTAGCCCGAAGCTCTCCGATCCTTACCTGAACAGAGCATCTATCGCCTCCTCATTATCATCACGAGATCCTACTGCCCCAGGCCGAACTCAACGCACCTTGAGCTTTTCTCGTCGCTCAGAATTTCTATAGATGGCTCTGCCAGAGCCTCCGAGTCAACCGCTGAACAAAACAAGCAGAGCGCTGCCTCAATCCTTCCGTGGGTCCAGAACCTAAGACAAGGCACGAGCTTCGTAGCAATTGCGCGGGCTAGCTAAGGCCAGTTGTAAAGGAAAAGCATTTCACTTGGATCCACAGGCTCAAGTAACTCGCTTCAGCATCTCCCGACAATGGCGAGAAGGTTGCAATGATTATTATATTTTGCCGAATCGGAGACGTAGCAACACTTTACGAGCAATCATATCCAGGGCAGGACTGCAAATGCTTCAACACTGCTGAAAAGTACATCGTCAATCCTCGAAGATGTAAATATCATGAAGCTCAAATTCTTCGAGACTTCACCCGAGTGGGCAGACTACTGCATGCTGCTCCGTTGCCAGGCAAAGCGAGCAGCTGCTGAGGCTGGGTTCAGCTGTGCGCCGTAGGATCCAACAACAACTGTCCATGCGACATCAATGCGACGGCTGTGAGGCTGATGTGCTGAAGCCCGACAAAAAGCCGAAGGCCCGCAGTAACGAGTTTTCAGAGTTTCTTGTGATGTTCGGCGCTGCGTACAGGGCTTGCCTGTCAGACCAATCATTGCCGTCATCTCTCCGGAAGACATACGGTGCTCCCAGACAAAGACCCGCAGCCCTGTTGGCGGTGAGCGGATTTCACGACGTGTTTCCCGTTGAAGCTGCTGGCAGTTCCTCTAGTTATAGTCATGCTACCTCTCTTTCAAGCTTCTCGCAGTTCCTTTGGTTCTGCCAGAGATTTGCATTTGCAACCAGGCATCTCAATTTTGTTAAGGAGCGGTGCATCCGTTTTGAGTCCATCAACTTCTTTCAGGTTGAGAATGGCTCCAGCCACCTGAAGGCCCCGCCGTTTATGTGCAGTACAGCAGCTCGGTGTCCGACTCTTAACAGTGCACAGAGCAATCTGCCTGGACTCAGCCAGACAAGTTCAAATTCCGGAAGGCTGAAAGGCATGCTTTCACGAATTCATCGTGGACACGATTACCTGGCAAACAAGATGTAGTTTATCGTCTGTCCTAGCTGGATGCATGGTCCAAGTCCATGCTCCGCAACGTTCGAAATTGAACTTGACGACTTAACGAATGGTAGACATGTGTAGCACCTCAGGTTCAGACGGCTGCTCATCCCTATAAGGCATTGAACCCCATGATCTTAGATGCTTCCTGACATACAAGCGACGCATGGGACGTCGAAGACTTCACGCAGCATCCTCAGACGGCAGGTAGCCTCGAAGCAAGGGTCGGGGCTTTGTTTCCTCTCCGAAGGACGTGCGGATGACTCGAGGAGCCTCGGACCCGTGGAAATCTTCGAGGAAAACATCCGCGCAAGGCGGGGCCTCAGAGACTTAGAGCCCCGATCTAGGCCTCGACCACGGTCGTGCATCCATGTGCATCCTGCAAGCCTGCAAGCGGTACGGATTGTGTGTTCGCATCAGTGGGCAGGGCTTCGAGACGGGCAACGCCCAAGAAGTTCCGGAGCCCACCAGCTTTGGCGCCTCAGCTCTGGAGCTCTAGGAAGTTCCCTTAGGCACTTGTCTCAGCATCGACTTGCAGCGTTTTCTCAGTTTCCCCCAGGAGGCCTGGCTGGATGCCACCTTGGAAACCCAGAGGCTCAGCTCGAAAGCTGCTTGTCCAGAGCGGCTCAAGGTTCACCGAGAGGCGAGGGCTGTGGGGAGGAAGGGGCAGGGAATTTCAACCCAGTTCCGCACGACCTTTGCAGGCTCTGGCCTGGCTTTGTGACCTCCTCCCGACCTATGGCACGGTCCTCTCCAGAGTGTCTTGGCTGAGGGAGCCGGGGGTGGCAGGGATTTCAGGCTCGGGCCTGAAGTCATGAAGCTGAGCTCGAATCTCGCAAGCTGTCTTGAGATGTACCGAGAGGCTCGAGGGATCTGCTCTATGCCCCGTCGTTGAGAGTGCAACGCGCCAGCGTTTCTGCACTGGCCACTAACTAGGGCATCACTATATGGCCTTGCAGACTGGCATCCGGTCGAACGATCCCAGGATTTCTATTCGTTGTCTTCGATCTAAGGTGCTGGACGAGGTCGACGGAGCTTTGCACAGGCTGGAGACATGGCAGGGGGAGCTTCAGAAGATGCATGGCCTGAACCGTCAGCTGCTCAGAAACATCACGGGATATGCAAGGGGGGTTACTGCATGCAGCATCCGCGTAAACCCGCACGTACAGACCGGGTGGCAGTTTCCGAGGCACGCTCCAGAGTCAGTTGCGATCCCTTCGGGTCCTGCACAAGCTGCAGGTCGAGGAAGCCTGGTAGCCTGGCTGCATAAAGAAGCAAGTATGAGTCAGTATGAGATCCCTTCGACCTGCCGTTGGCCTTGAAGGTCTGTGACCAAGAAGAGCAGCGAAGCTGAGACCCAGCCTGTAGCTGCACCAATGGCTGACAGCCAGAAGCTGGACAAGGCACGGCTAAAATCTAAACCCTACGCCGCCCTACGCCCAATTAGGATGCTCAAATCGCTGCAGGATGCTCAAGCCGAAGTCACCAAGCGCAGACATGCGGAACGCAAATCGCTCAAGCTCCAATCCGAGCTTCAGAGTGTCAGGCCACGGGGAGCCTGCTATCTGTGTAAAAATTGTCTATGTATGTAGGTCCGTAGGCAGGTAGGGGAGGTAGGTTGGCTGGTAGGTAAGTAGGTAAGTATATAGCGCTCTCACGAACATGTTCACTTCAGAAATGAGACATCTGGCCTGTCCTATGTCAGGCACCAGCTGCAGGACAGATCTGGTTCTGGGAACTTCCGGAACTCGCCTGTACCAAGCCTGCACAAGCTACCAGGAGTTGGAAATCAAAGAGGCTGACAAAGTTGCAGCCAAAGATGAAATGCACAGGACGGACTCATCCAGAATGCACCAGTTCGTAGCACTGCTGTTATTGCTCTCGTGCACAGGCTTATCGAGCAGAGGGAGCAGATCTCTCGCAAGAATGATGCGCGGTGGACCGAGACAGCCAATGCTGGGACACCGCAAGCACAGTTGCCCTCCAGCTTTCCGAGGCTGCAGAAAGAGCGCTCGCAGCTGCAGTCGGACCTACGCAAGTGCAAGCCCCAAAGTTTGCTCTCCTTAAGGTCGCTGACTTTGCAGCGAATGCCTAGGTCCCAGCAAGAGAATGATCAGCTGAAGCAGCAGCTGAACTCGCCGAGTGCTTGGTACAAGTACCCCGCCCTGCTGGTCGAGTGAAAACTAGTTTGACTGTCAGCACGTGATTTCGCCAAGGAAGTCCGAAGAGTGCAGGCAACTGCAGACTACGCAGCTTGTTGCTCCGCTCACACCTTAGTCCCCCCCGCAGCCAGCACAGGTGTTTTGAACACGTTTCGTCGCCCGAATCTTCCGTGACAGCATACTGACGGCAATGAAGCATAAAGCATACGAGACCTGAGTCGCATTGCGAGCACGACTTCAACTGACGATGCTGCGCAGCTAGTGGAAGCCTCCGCTTTGGACAATCGCCGAATCAGTTGCAGTTTCTGTGCGAATTCTGGGCTCTGGGGTCTCTGAAGTATATACGTCCCCCCCCCCCCCTTAGGAAGAAGCAGGGCAGGGCTGGGAGCGTGGATCGGGGTGGAGGTGCCTGCAGAGCACAGATCTGACCAGCAAACTCTGCAAAGACAGACCAGCCCCGATTGAGCTTGTTCTATCATCCGTTTGGGCAGAACATCGTGATGCTCTTCTAAGGCCGACGGCGAGCAGCCTGTGCTTGGCTCAGCCTGGCATTCTTTTTCTGAATTGACTTTGCTGCCGATGCCTAGGGAGGAGCAGCAGGCGACATTGAAGCTGCCACCTGGTCCTCGGCATAGAATCGCCGAGAACCTCAGAGACCTCGCCTTTTTCTTCTGGTCCCAAGGGGAGCTGGCCCGGACTCCCTCCGTCAAGGCCGCCCGATGGTAGGTTGGTAGACGAGTCGAGTGGCATCGGAAGCTCCTGTGAGATGAAGCTTCAGACTCTCTGCCATGCCAGCCGACAAGCTTCCTTGCGGCCGTGAAGTTGGAGAGAGATCCCACGGTGGCCGCCGAGGAGATACTGGCAGAGTTCTCTTAGACTTAAAGTCCTGAAGCAGTCGCGAAGCAACGATTGTGCCGAACCATGGGCCTTTTGATTACATCTGCCGGTCAAACTACCTGATGCCAGCCGAAGGCAGCAACGACTAGCACCACGCATCATGGAAGAAGGCTAGTGGCTAATGTGGGATCCAAAAGACTTGCAGACAGATAGGTGATTTGGAAGCATGCAGGGCTCATCATTGAGAGTTGCGGTCGCCATGTACTATTTGTGTTTGTGCCCACTGATTGGGTGGACTGGCCTGGAAGTTCAGTTCTAGCCAGGAGACGGACTACGTCCCCGACAGGCCCGATGGCATGGCATTTCAATCAACTGCGACCATGCGAGGAAGGCAGTGGGAGGATCCGCAGCTTTGGCAGCAAAGTGAAACCGTATCGGAAGTGTAGAGAGTTCGAAGACTGACGTCGCCGACAGGGCGGTCTTGCCCGTCATTGGACAGCTTCAAGCGTACATGACGTCATCCATGCTAGTTACAGCCGCTTGACACATTGACGTAGACATTGCTGTGTCCCTCCTTCAAGCTCAGGCAGAAGTGGACGCTCAGCATCGACGAGTGGGACCGAGTGCTTACTTTCTGCCAAGAGCAGGAAGCGCAGCTTGAATGATACATGAATGTTTAGCGGGGGTTATTGCTCCTCATGCCTGATCATGCCGTGGGAACCACGCTTGCAGATACCACACTTGCAGATGAGTCCCCGGCCATCGCATGTCCAACCGTTGAGCCCCTGCAATTGAGGTATCAGGTTTTCAAGAGCCACGGCAAGAAGTACGTGAACATGCCACTCAACTAGCGGCCAGTGGCAGCTGGAATGCTCCTAGCGGAAAGCACGCCGACTGAGGTATGACCTGAACCAGGAGTATGTGAAACCATGGACACGAGGTGCGGATGCCGTGCGAGATTGGATGTTGGCTTCAACGGACCTTGCCAGGTGAGGGCTGCGGCGTTGCAGTCATGATGAGCCAGCACCGTGAGGCCCAGCCTCAACGAGTTTCGGAGACCCACCCGATCATGGCCCTCGCTTCTTGAACGGCCAGGATTCGGCGCAGCTCATGTTGTCACACGCTTGGGCGGAAGATGTCGAGGACAACTCGTGCCGGCAGGTCGGCGTTGCGAGGGCGGGTTTCCTTCTTTGTGTGCCAGGAGTGCCAATCTGCGGTCATGGAGCATGTCCGTGAAGCCCAACTGCCTAGATGCCTGGTGGAACACAGTGCTGTAAGCATGAGCATTTGCAGAGCCGGAACATTGCAAAGCCCCGGTTGCGTGCATCTGTGTGCGTATCGAGGCAAGGTGCTTAGTTTGGGTAGCTAGTGCTGGTGGCTGCCCTCGCGCTGGTAATGATGTTGTGGACGAACCACAGGGCATGGTCAGCGCACATCCACATGGCGATTCAGGTGATGGTGTTGATCATGTTGGTGATAGTGACGGTGATGACCAGCATCATCATGATCCAGCCATGACATCTCAACGTCATCCACCATTCCGGACCTTGCGCATGCTTTAAACGACTAGACTTAGAGCAGCTTGTCAGCGGTTTCGCCCTCTGAGGAGAGACGGCGGTGTGGTTTTGCTTATTCGCCAACTACCAGGCAAGAACCTTATGAGCCGGCCCCTGCGCTTCGGCCCTGATGTTAGGTCGGTGATGAAAGCGGCCCCAGCATTGAAGCTCAGCTGGACTCTCAGTACTACTTCGCCTGCGGCTGCTCTGCCAATTTTTTTAACAAGACCCTGACTGGACTCGAGGCTCAGCTTGAAGCCCTTTGCCAGTGTCATCTCGGCTGCTAGCTTGAGACGAGGGACAGGCGAATGCGACTTCGCTCATTTCCCTGAAACCAGTCTGCGACGTGACTCCGCCCTTGCAGGCTATGGCCTGCACGCGATACATACTTCGACAGCTGCCGCTCGGCAACAGATGCTTGCTTCGCTGTATAGCGGTAACAGATGACGATATAGTTGAATTTCGATTGGCTGAGGATCTCTATCAGCGGCTGTGGTGTGTACATGAAGTCGAGCGTGCATTGAAGGTGTGATCTCGGGGTGACCTCAATTTGCGTAGCTCTTCGCAACTTGTTGAGCGCAGGGTGACATAGATGTGAGCACGAGCATGTCGGACAAGTACAAGGACCTTCAACTTTCCACTATTCCTCATTTTTGCCTTCTGCTGCTTCTTCATCTTCCGTGCATGTTGCTCGATTGTAAATCTGCTGCTGCGTGCTTCGCACAAGGAGCAGACTCTGCAGAGACTGCAGTTTTTTCTGCATCTTGGCCGCAAGCGGAGCGGTTTCGAAAGGACGCCCACGCAATGCCCAGTCCTGCCGATGCAAGGAGCGAGTCCTGCGGCACAAGTACTTGGGAAGACTGCATGTGGGCTGCGAACGTCAAGGTGAAGACGATCCAAGCTAGGCCCCTTTGCAAGGGAGCGCTGTTGCGAATTTTCCGCAGCTGGTAGAGGATGTAGAGGATTGAGCCAGGTGTGACCGGATGGAAGATGAGCAGATGCTCATTGCAGAGATCATGGCCACCGGTGGTTAGACGCTCTGAGTTCAGGAAGCTCCTGCTCTAAGTCAGACTCCAAAGCTCGCTGAGGCTTTGAGCGCATCGATGCCACTATCGAGAGGTTTAGAGCAGAAACCTTTGGCCAGAACTACGACGCTTAATTTCAAGCTTGCTGCACGCTCATGCCGCTTCAGCCTTCTCGCCTTGTGCCCTGCCCTTGTACTCTCCATGGCTCAGGAGCTGATGCTGAAGGCCGTGGGTCGGCATGGCCAGGCGAAGCCTGGCAGCTTTGGAGCATGAACTGCCTCCCTTTTCAGGGGCTCGTTTTGGCCCCTGTGTGACACGTCTGAGGCTCAAGTTCGCCAGCTTCGAGCGTCTGGAAAGAAAGCTGATTCACAACTTAGTCCTCACAGCAGTGCGCTGCTCAGATTTCACGAGACGGCCCGGGCCCGGCACCTTCGCGCTCCCAACTCTGAGGTCCGAAGCTCTGGAGCCTCTTTAGCCCATGCCCCTGTCGACCTCAAGGCGGACAAGGATCTGGTCATCGAGGACCCGCTTGCCCATCATTGCGCACGACACTGCGACGTTGCCGCTTTCTGTGCTTGGGGTCCGAGAGGCCGTGAGGCAGAACGGCATGGCCTTGCAGTACGCTGCAGAGGCCCTGAGTCTCCATGACTGATCAGCTCGGGAAACACAGCCTTCGAACTGTGGATCCAGACAGGAGATGCGTGTGGACCGCGAAGTCGTGCTGAACGCGGTTCAGTCGGATGGCTTGGCGCTCCAATTCGCATCAGCTTCCCGGACCAGACTTTCAAAACCTAGCGAAGACCCGCGTGGGATCAGAAGACTCCAAAAACATCCAATAAGCAAGGACATACTCGGAACCAGAACGAGATTTAAGAGGGAAGAGGGTTCCCAGGACGCACAAATGTACGGAGCTAAGGGCCCGGCCTTGATGGATCATGCGGTGGTGCTGGCTGCTGTGGCCCAAGATGGCGAAGCCTTTCGTCTAGCACCCGAGCCTTGCCCAGCACTCGTCTAGCTCTTGAGATTGGGCAGTTCTCTGATGTAAAGAAGCCGAGGACAGCATGAAGAAGAACCGCGAAATCATGGAGAAGGCTGTGACGACCAGTCCAAAGGCGAGACGAGATTTCCTCCAGACCCTGCCTGGATCCCTTCGCCCGGAGGCATTGGCCTATGTTCCATCGGAACTGCAGAAGGACGCCCTGGAAGTGGTCAAAAGCTCACCGGAGGTTACAGCGGGCCAGGATGCCACACGTGAACTGGTAAAATGTCTCGCGTGGAAGGCTGTTCTTCAGCTGGAGAGGTCAATGACAGTTGCTGGTATAGCAGCTCCGTTGCAGACGTTTGCTGCAGCCTGTGACAGTCTGACGCAACTGCCGAATGCAGTTCAATGTTTACCGTTTGTGTGCTCCTGCAAAGTCATTCCGAGGTCAATCAAGCCGCAGCCCTGCTGCAAAAGTGCCAATCGATCTCTTTACTAGAAAGTCAGACGAGTAGCCTCCTAAAACTCGTTTTCGCATGAGCACAGAATGCGACACTCAGGAGCAAGAAGTCGAGCGAATGGAAGAAATGGCGGTGACGCGAAGGCATCTGTGCCAATGTTGCCAATGCTCATTTCACAGAGTCACACAGCCCTACATTTTCAAGATTGTCGAAGCTCCACTATGTGGTATTTTATTTGCGCCTTACTTCCAGCCAGCACCACATACATCTATGTGAAACGAGACGTTGCCTTACCAGCTTAGGTGCGTCCCGAGGGGGGGTACCCAATGCATTCGCACACTTTCATGCCGTGGCTGCGCCCTGCGGCAGGCACGCGAAGGAGTCTGAGAAGGAGCAAGAGAGATTGCAGAAATGGCTTGACCTCATGCCGCTGAGCTTGTGCTTTAGAGTTGTCGATCATATCCATACCCACACAGAGGAAAATGCAAGCATGGACAAACTCACATGTTACAAACATGTGCATCATGCATCCATCATGTGCCGATTCAGTACTCCTCGCCAGCCTGATGTGCTCATCTAAGCTTGAACTGAATCAAACGGTGCGTTTTTGCACGGCAGGAACAGGAGTCAACATGCATCGCAAATCCTCGAGCAGCGGACAGCCCGCTCAACCAAGGAAGAGTGTTCGACCTCAAGTCAGAACAGAAAAGCCGAAACGTGCACTGCGGCTGATGCTGCTGGGTTTGGACAGCCTGTTCCAGAACACACAGGACACGGCAGCCGTTTATTCAGCTACTGTCCGAGATGGAAAAGGGCATGCCAGGTGTTGGGTGCACATTAAGAGCAATGGGATTGTGCAGCGTCGTGTTCAAGGAGGGTCGGAGCCGTCGTTCGTACCAGCAGGACAGATCTAGTCGAATCCGCAGAGCCAGAGGGGGACAGAGAGACATAAATAAGACTGAGCATAAAATGCAGACTGTTGAAGGCTAAGGAGGATGCTCTTCAAACGAGTCAGCAAGCTCGCAGCAGGATCCATCCGTGATTTCGCGGGCTCGCCAGGCCTGTAAGCATGAGGTTGTCCAAATTCCCCCAGGGCGGTGCAAATCCTAAGCGGGTAGCTACCGTGCTGCTTGAAGGCTATCGAAAAGCAATTCGATACCACCACCGACGAGGACAAGATGGATTATGTAGATGTCCTCCTTGACAACAGCATTGTGACTCGCCATTCCACGAGTTTAAGTGCACCGGGCATCGTTTCGAAATCGTCGGCTTTGCCCTTCGACTTCGACAATGACAAACCTCCTAGATTGCCGCTTCAGCATGAGGCCATGCACGCCACGCTGAAGAACTCTCTCTTCAAGTGCCTTGTCGAGTACAAGTTGAAGCTTGCCGACAAGGCTCCGCTGCAAGTACCCTTTGCCATGAACAGTGAGTTGTGTAGGTCAGTGTAGGCGAGACGCTACAGCACCCTGCAGGCTGGTGCTACTCTAGATCCCAATACGCCACTTGTGCTGCACTCGTCTGTGCTGCGTGGCTGCGAGCAGAAAGCTGTCCTGAATCCCAGGTCTTCCAGTCCCGTGAGGAGGTTTCTAGCCTGCAAATTGCTACCAGAGCGATGCCGTGGCAGTCGAAGCCTCGAGGTCGAAACGTGCCCTTATCCCTGAGGTACAGCATGCACGTGCCGAAGTTGGAGCCCACACCTTCCGTGGAATCTGAGCGCTCTGAACGCCACAGCGGCCGGGCATTCACTGCGGCGACGAAGATTCAAGTCGATCAACTGGCCGTGGCCCCTTGAGCTCCAGAGGGCACGGAGAAGAGCGGCCCGGAGTGAAGAAGCAGAGGCTGGCTCTTCAAAGCTAATGACTGACACCCCGCAGCTGAGGAAGTTACCCCAAGTCAAGACAGGGTTGCAGAAGAGTGGCCTTTCTTAAGACGGCAAGCTGGGTGTCCTGTAGCGATTCGTAGAACCTTTTCAGCATGATGCTGTAATTTTAGTTAGTTTTAACCATCAGACTGTGGCTTTCGCGACAGTGCTTGACATCCAGAGTTTTCATGCCATAGACGCTGCTTTGGACAGCTCTTTGCTGGTACACTGTCCCACATGCCTCAGCTGGCAAGACACGGAACAGTTCTGTGACAGAACACCCGTGGAATTGGAATGGCTCAGAGCCTTCTCATCAACATGGTGAGAGACGGGCTGGTGTCAGAAATCTGACATGCCATTGAGGTGACAAAGCTTGCGCGAGTATGGGTATCTGAGCCCGTTGTACCTAATGGACCTAATGATGCCTAAGGTGCGGGGGGGGGTGGGGGTGGAGAGCTGTGTATGGCCCTGAAAAAGGAAAGCGCGGCCAACGGACGACCTCCTGAAGTCGAAGCCATGAGCAGCACCGTGCAGGCTCTCCGAAGAGGTTTTGGGATGTACCTCATTTTGGGGTCCTTGTAATAAGGATCCTACTATTTAGGGTACTACAAACAATAGCAAGGCATATCAAGCAATTGCAGCTTGTCGTGGAAGGTTTCGACGTGACTCCGCTGGCCTTCCGCTCCTAGCTTGCGCGCACTCTCTCGTGCCGCAAAAAAGCTCGTGCTCGGCGAAGTCTGTGTTGTTGGACTTTGTCTGCCGACTTCCAGCCGATGTTCGTAGATTGCGACTACCGCCTAAAGCCTAAAGTGATTGATTAGGCTCTGATGCGTGAACTCCAGCAAACGACGATGGCAAACGGCAAACTGCTTCTGGCAAGTCTATGCAACTCTATCGATCGGCGAGACGAGGAGGAATTGACCCCCATGACTTGTACCCTGACAGGAGATTCATTGGATGTGCTGCTCTCTTGTCGGTCTCCACAGCATGTCAGCAGGATCCTGTTCTGCCGCGCAGTTCCCACAGATGCCAGATGTGCACATGAAGTCAACTCGCGCGTCCAACGGGAAAACTGGAGCAAGGTCACCAGGGCTTGCAGGGCCGTTCCTGAAACCGTATCGAATGCAGTATTGGCTATTGCTGTATGGCCCCTTGTTGCAAACTTAATGTTGTCGCAGTGACGGCAATCGTGTCGTTGTCGCGATCGAATGAACAACGCGGCCTCCAGATGCTGCCAATTAGTGTCTCGCCCTCCAGCTTTTAGACTGCGATGCAGCACGCTGCCCTCGATAGGCAGATTTCTACCGAGGAGCATGTCAAGCATGTGTGCATTCTCACCGTTTGTGCAGGGACGTGCTTCATACTGGCTGAATCTGGCTAAGCATTCTAACTAAACAGTGTTGCCGACCGCTCTCATTGCAACATGTCCACAAAGTTGTGCTTTCAGATCTCTGGCTCGTGTTCTCAAGTTAACATGGTAATTATCTGTCAGGGATTGAGAGGCGATGGATGCTCACAATATAGTTTAACGAGCTTCTCTATCCAAGAACACTGGAGCAAGGCCCGCTGGTCTTGTAACGCTGTAAAACAATTCTGATAGAGATGGTAGACTGCAGTATTTTTCCAGCAACATTGACGATTCCTGTAGGGATATTGAAAAGCCAGTATAGGGTGCCATACACAAGTTGGAGTGTGATGCATTTGGACAAGGTAGATGATAATCGGCGGGCATGGCAGCCGCTTGAACTCATCCCTAGTGCAGGGCGGATATTGTGTCGGCCATGCTGGCTACACGAGTGAAGTGTTACCCAGCGTTTTCATCGCAACATACTCGTACCTACGAAGCAACTTTGCATCTAGGTTCACTCGCCGCCATGGCTAGCCATTGGTGGACCGTTGTTTATGTGCAAGCCCTTCTGGTATGTGGATCGCTGAACACCATTACCATGAAGATCCTTGACAGAAGCTGGCTTCGGGTATCGAGTATTTAGACGAAAACTTAGACCAACGTCGTACCGAACACATCCGGTCTGTGCTTTCGCGTGCTGTGAGGGTGGCCTTCACCATGTCTGGAACTGCTGATGGCCGCCAAGAGCGTTTCGAGAAGCCGTGGCTCATGACCTTCATCATGCCAGTCATCTGCAAGAAGAGAATTCAGTGGTCAGCGGTTCAGTCTGAGCGGGATCTCTAAGGTTCGTTTCAATGACGCTCGCTTTACCTTTTGACGCCGGTCGCCGCCTTATCGGAGAAAGGCAGCACAAGCGACTTGCTGTGTTGAGTCCCTGCACTTCAGGCATGTGGAGGAAAAGCTCGCCTGAACCCCTCCTCGGTGGGCAGGCACGGGCTTCACGGAGTGGCACCGGGCATGCGCAGCAAAGCCAAAGCCGGGAGGTTGCAGATCGCTGGCGGGAGAAGGTCCGCCAGCGAAGTCGTTGTCCCCCATTCAAGCATAACTTCCTGCCTTCACCCACAAGCATCGAAGGTGATCAAAGTGATGTACCCTGCGTTTTTTGACATCTTGGCGACCGGGCTTTGCTGAATCTCGTCTGCGATGTTTATCAAGTTTTCTGTTGATTTGGAGCTGCGTGGCCTTGGGAATGTTGTTTGAGGCATGGGATTTCTGTACATCCCGGCCAGCGTGTGGCGGCCTGTCGGCAGCGACTCCTCCTCTTTGCCTCTATCTTGCCAGAGCACCGAGCTCTGTAGCCCCCGAGTCCGATTCGCAACTAAGGCAGCTCCTCAGAGGTGCCGAAATCGTTTTTGTTGGAGCCTTGGAAAGATTTCCCGGGAGCGTTCTAGGGGTCCAAAGGCCTTGTTGATGCTGCTTGCCTTGGGGAGGCTGCCATTTTTGCTGTGACTTGCCTTCATCGCCGACTTTACTGTTTCCAGTACATCGGCTTGGCCTTCTGTGTGGCTGGCATCTTTCTAGTGGGCTGCAGCCTCAGGCTCAGAAGTCTCGGATGTCCCATTAGGCCAGCTGTGAGACGAAGGATTAGCCAGTGTGTGGGGTGACGACATGGAGGCGGGGAGCTTGGGTGCAGAAGATCTTCCTCAACACATGAGTTCCGTCAGACTTCTACATTTTTCTTCCATCTTCCGGACGGGTTCTGACGTGTTGAGTCATGAGCTGGAACCAAACCATGATGGATGTGCTCCGGCGGGTTCGGCCCCGATAAACCTGATCCAGATTGGTCGTACCTTGCGCGTGCTGTAGTCCCTTCACTCGAAGAACGCTCTAAATTGATGTGCGCGGAGGAGGTGGTTGGGTTTTCAGCGCTTCCGTCACGTGATTTGTGCCTATCTTGCTCAGCCTAGAGGTCGTGGCATGACTTTCTCTTGTGACTGGGCTTCGCTTTACCAGCCTTCCTCAGTTGATCGACTTAAGCTTTTCGTAGATTTCAGGCGGAGGCCAAGGGGAAGGACACCGGCAACGTGCAACTGCTGCTGCTCGGAATCTGTGCCGAGCTTAGCACGTATCAGCGTCACATGATCTGGAGTCCCATGCGTCGGGTACTCGTCGAACTTCTCGCAACTAACTATTAACTATTTATGGAGTCTTGCTCGCTGCTCGTTTCGGTATGCTGTTGGCCTCGGGGTCGCAGAGACTCAGGCCTGGCACTGGCGGGCCAGGTGGTCCAAGCAGCACAGGCTGTAGCAGAAGAGTGGCTTCTGCAGGACCTCAATGGAAAGCACATGCTTTTGGATGCTTGATGCTTCCGAGTGTGGGCATCGGAAAGGACGTCGATCTACCGGGTCTACAAGTTATAGGCTTCGAAGGCGCCTGGGGCGCACTCGCCATGCATCTTGGCACCTGTCAGCTCCTGTCCAAGCCATGTGCTAGCTTCTAGCAGCATTCCAGATGATGTAGAGTTCTTCTGGACCATTACCTGGGTTTGCATTTTCGAGGCTTGTGTTTGTGTTCCCGACCCTCTACATGCTTCCTGGGTCTTCGCCTCAGTTTCTAGGTTTTTTCTGCTTCATGGCCTCGAGCAGCGCTGCAGGCAAGACCACGGACATGCAGAAGATGAGGTCAACGCATACGAGCTGCTGAGGATGTGCTGATTGGGGGCCGTCCACTCCACGCGCTGCGGTTTCTGAAATGTTCAGCCGAGGAGCAACCCTATGCTGAGTGCCTTGATGGGCTTGTACATTTTCTCTTGTGTGGGGGGCTTAGCACACTGTTTGGGCCACCTGCTTCATCCCATCCACGTGGGCCTCAAAGTGCCGCATGTGGAGGCCACGTACAACATGTCCGGAATTGCAGTCACTGGAGCACTCTCTGCGGTGCACAGAGTGATGATAGAGGCAAAGGGCTCCGAGTGACAGGCAGCCGTGGAGGAGATAACTGTCTTGGCTTCTCAGGCACTCCGAACATTGATCGTTTGGGCCTTCGGACTGTGACGCTGCTGCAGTTGGCTTGAAACGGAAGTAGCCTAAACAGACTTACCCTCCTCCCCTCCCGTGATCGGTAAGTTTCGAGGAGCATCCACTACCTTGTGGATCCAAAGTCGGCTCTTGGCGAGGTCTGGACGTGATGGCGCTCAGATTCGGCCAGCGATGACGGGATGTGCGCGCTTCGAGTCCAGATTCACCAGATCCGCTTTTCCTGTCCGTCTAAGGCCCTACAGCTGGCTGGAGGCCTTGGATCACTTCTCGGAGTGTCGAATGGAAAGCAGAACTAACATGAGGTGGCTGGCTTCCTTCTTTTGGTGATCGGCCAAGTGATCTACGGAGCGATGGTGAAGGCACGGATCTCTCAACGGCCGGTCGAAGCCAACACCCAGTCGCTGGTTTGAGCATGCCTGTGTCAGATACCGCGGCTCTACTACCCACCGTCGGAGGCTGGCGATGTTGGTGGCAAACAGCATAGGTCATCCGTCGCAGTTTATCATCTGTTTTTGGATTCTGTTGAAGGAGATCTCCCACGATGTCGTAGCATCACCTGGTTCCCTGAGAAACCTGACGGCCCTGCCGCCCGAGCCTATGTCCTCTCGGCTACAGCAAGTCAGAGCCTCATGCTGGCTAAGGGATGCCCGGCTTGTGAGCCCGGGCTCTCATGATGGCAGAGTGGCTGGTAGCCCTGTTGCGCTGAGCCCCTGAGCCTGAGCTTGCAAGCTCTGAAACCAGGGGGGGCAAGTGCGAATCGTTAGGCAGAGGCCAAAGGCTCCGATCACGAACATCCCTGTTAAATCTAGACATGCGGGGGACTGTTCGGGATTAGTGCGCAGCCCATGCGTATGCCAAAACGGAAAAGTTCGCACTCTAGGTCAGCGGTCACGAAAGTAGCAAACACATGTATTTCACCCTTGCACTCGCTCTGGCTCAAGCTGCCAGCATTAGAGTTTTCAGGCCTATGCGGTGCATTGCACCGGCGCGTCGCCGGGAGAAGGTCGACTGCATCCTCAGCTTTGGATTCGAGGAGAGGCCACGCGGTGGCGAGGTGCTGATACCGGTGCGTGACCAGTTTTTTCTTGTACGAAGTGATACTTGGGATCAACAAGGCTTTTGTCGACTTTCTCACACGGCAGCCTTCTCGTCAAAGCACAGATCTCCTCTGCGATGTCGATTGCATTGGCTCAAAGAGCCTACACAGAAGGTTTTCGTGTTCAGGTTGGCCTCTCCACGACAAGCCGCTGCAGTTGCAAGCACTGCAAAGGTTCCATCCTGAAAGATGCGCTTCGAATCGGTCAGCTCGTAGGAAGCCCAGCAGAGGGCATTGGCCCAAAGTGGTGCCATCCCGCATGCTTCCTGGATTTCATCAAAAGCCGCTACGCTTCATCTGGGGGCTGGTTCAAGAAGCATGTCCCCGAGCCAGAGCAGATCGCAGGCTTTCAGGGTCGTTTCAAAGGCACATACGTAAGCGGTTAAAGCACACACACACACACATGTTGAAACATGTTTGCCCCGTCTGTGGATGTTTAGTTTTTTTTGTTGTTGCGGTTTCGTTGCAGCCAAAGGTTTAAAATATTGTTACACACTCACGGCAGTTGCTGGAGTGCCACGCATGAAGCCCGAACCACGGAATCTTAGGGAGATCCCAGACATGCGTAAATCAACGTTTAAGAGCATGTATAAACTGGATACGGTGCAGAAACTTGAGATTCAGCGTGTGTTTTAGCCCGAAGCCGAAAACTTCAAGCTTTACACGCGATACACCCAGCAGGCTCTAAAACGTCTTGTCGCAGTTGTTCAACCAGTAAGCTACTGGCAAATATGAAGCCCTGTCATTCCCCGCCCCTGCGAGAAATGAGACAAGAGCTGGTTAACTGTCCCACCGGCTCTAAAACAACTCAAACCCTGGAAGCAAGCCCATCAGATCCTTGTTGCCATTACGAAAAGCTCACGTAGAAATCACTGGCTTGCTGCGATGCACATGTCACATGCGACCCGTTCTTCGTTGCATGACCTCTCAAAGGCTTCTTCGCTACCTGCAGTATTGACCTCCAGGGCACCTCCTTACATGGTCGTCGTTGCAGCGTGTTTTCACAATAACAATAGCCTTCTGTTGACCCCCGTCAGCCCATAAGAGTCCAATAGACTTAGTCGGACAAGACCTCCATGTCTTTGCAGGACACGTGCTGAACAATCAATCACCTTTAAACATGTAGGCTTATCACATGTAGTCTCGTGCTTGGTTTAACTTAGCCTAGTTTTCGCTTCTTGTTACTAAGCGGTTCCAACATGGCTGGTCAGAGTGTTGCCTCGATTTTGTAGATTTAGCGTTCAAGCCTCGATCTAAACAGCACCCCCCGCCTCAACCCTTCAGGCTTTGGAAGCCTGACGGCAGATGACAAAGCGATCATCTCCGAGCTGATTGATGAAGGAAAGAATCCTCGAGTCATTGTGGTGACCATCGCGGAGCTTGGCACCAAGCTGGTTTGCACCAACATGGCTGGAAACACCGTTGCTCCAGCATTGAGCCTAGAAAACGCCAACACTGCGAGACAGCATGTTGCAAAAGCAACAAACAGAAGAGAGGAGGAGGTTCGACTGGTCAACGCAGATGGCAGCTTGTTTGAGGGCCTCAGGCGTACCAGTGCAAAGAAGCGGAAGGCACAGGACATGTGTGCAGCCGCTGCTCTGGCCGGCGCGTGACATGCCGGGGGTAGGGGTAGCACTCCTGAAGACAGGGGGGGAGAGTTTCAGTTGAGTGCTTGTGACGTCAAAACTCGTGCGTGTAGCATCTATGTGCATCTATGACATGGTTCCCGTTCAGAGCTGGTGCTTGGGTACCTGTTCTTTCAAGGCCAACAAATTCGACCATTTACAATGATCCATGATTCCATGATGATGATGCTGGCGGTGGCGGTGATGGTGATGGTGATGGTGATGGTAAAAATGGCCACAATAACGGGGCAATGATGATAATGGCGAGTGTGGCAGCAATATTGTCTTGTATTCTGCGAATTCGTTCTGCTTCTAGGATGGGAGTCTACACGCGTCTACAGTAACTTGTGTGCCAGTCGCCAGGCTACCCTTGCGAATCTTCATTCTACCATCGCTCCCCCGCAAACCCTAAGCTGTAAGCCAGAAAATTCCCCAGGCCCTGAACCCTGCAACCCTAAGCCCCCAATGAAGATTTAAAACGAAGCTTCAAATCTTGAAGACTCTCGAGCCGAATCGACATCCGGAGGTTCTGACGGTTTGAAGTGTCCACCCTGTCCCTCCAGACCTTCCCAAGCTGAACTTGGGGTCTTGGGAGAAAGAGTGTAGGGCCTTTAAAATTGTTCAGGAGCAAAGTGTAGATCCTGCAGGAAGAGCAACACATGCAGTGTACAGGGCTACTGAAAAAAGATAAGCAAGGGCCTTCGGCTTTACTTCAGGGTTTAGGATTCAGAATTTCGGGTTTGGGGTTCTTAACTCCCTTCGTCGTAGGCTCAGGTCATGTGTTTCCTGACACTCGGGATCCATGTTTGAAGCCCGCTTTTTTGAGGTGTTAGCATTCAAGTGGAAGGCAGCTGCAGCCCTGCCCTGAAACTGGACTGCCGACAGACACTGTTGCTCGCACTCAACATCTCCTTACCAAGCTACATCCCAGCACTACCCTGCATCGTAAACCGTGCCCGGAGCTTCCAGGCTTAGGGCACAGCCCCAAAGTCTTCCACCCCAACGCCCCACACCCAAAAAAGCGCGTCAAGCCCGGGGATGACGGCCTGGCTGTTGCAGCTCTCGGAAGCTGAGCTGATCAAGGCCTCCAGCACTCAGCACCCTCGAGTTAGGTATACACAATAGCACAGGTACATTCATGATTTTGCATGACAACGCATCAAGACCTACCCCTACCTGTCTATAGGTTTTTCTATCTGTCGTGCCTACAAGTAGCTGGAAGGGGTTAGGATCCTCAGAGGGCCGATGTCGTCGTCGTAGCCGCAGTAGTAGCAGTACAGCCCGCTGCTATTGCTGTTTCTATTGCTGCCCGTAAGCATCATTTCTGCCACTGCCACGGCTCCTGTTCATCATTCTTTTCGTTTGTCGTGCTGTTCCTCGCAGTGCCAGTGCGTGTTGCAATTGCGGCTGAGTGTGATTGTGACTTCAATACTTCTGACATCTTCTGACATTGACCATGTCAGCAGTAGGACAGCTACCAGCAGCTCAATAGCCACTATGCTCATCGCACTTCAGAGTTTGGGCACTATACTGGGAGGTCCTGCGATGCCTCGAGGCGGAATCTCTGCTCGAGGCGTGCTGTCGCACTTGGGGTTGTTAGCCAAGAGGGGCAGACAACACGAATTCTCGAACATTCGACAAGCCATGAAGGCAGATGCAGCACTGGACGGGTGGAAGTACGAGCAGTGATTTCGTCGCTGCCATTGTCCGCGTTCTACCACGTACCGGCGCTACTCGTAGTGATAGTAGTGGTGCCGTTAGATGATGCCGTAAGAGCATGCATAAAACCAGCATAAACCAGCGTTAGCACCTTGGAGGGTGACGGTGAGGATGAAGTTGTTGGCAAAGATGCAACAATGTCGATATTGCTAGTGACGATTTTGATGGTTTGGTGACGAGCACGCAAATGATAGCGATGGCTGATAATTAACATCGGCTGTGCCCGCCTGTGCGAAATTTGCCTCCAACCATACATGACCCATGAACTTCTTGATGCCTGCCACTAGGCTGTGAGTTGTAGTCAAGGTTTCGTTTCGTTTTTGTCGCCGTCGTGGTTCTTGTCGCGTAGCGGTCGTGATTTTGGGTCTTGGTGGTTCCGTTTTTCTGTCTCGTGATGTTTGCAGTTCAATCTGTTGCATGTGCTCCTGTCTGTGGAGGTTCTGTGGCATGGTTCTTGTTGCAGGCCACATCGCTGTGCCGCGATGTATCGGCTGCCGCCGAGAGCTCAGCATTTCTGCAGCTGCACAGAGCCCGGAGTGCACCGTACCAGCGAAGTGTAAATCGATTGTAAGTCTGAGCTGCCCAGCTCTGAGCTGCCCGAGGATCTCACTAGCCACCGCGTGCGAAGGAGAGAACCCAAACAGTGATGCTAATGACGAGCTTCAATGTCACGCTCGAACAAGATTCAGTAAGGAACTTAGAGGTAGTCCTCTCTTCGTGCGAACGGTGCAAAGTACAGGCTTCTCGTCTTACATGTTGCGGTATCATACGGGAGGTTTGGGGGTGGGAGTTGTTCTGGTTGGGTGAGAGATCGCAGGGCGCTATTGAGCTGTAATGGTGAGTTTTGCAGCACCCGCCCACAAAGCGTCACCCACCTAGCTAGCTCTTCCGCGTTTGCAAGCGAAGCTGGGCCCGAGGAGCATCTTCCGATTTGTTCATATTGAAATTGCTAGGGATGTTTTCGACGAAGTCCCTCCAAGCTGCAAATCGTCTTGCCAGGAAGCCTTGTTGACAGTTTCCTAGCTGTAGAAGCACTATTTGCATGCTTCCCCCGCTCCATTTCGGCAAGGAGACCCGGGAGAGACATGTATCAACCGTCGACGCATCTTGGAACAGGGATGCCAGTCAGATTGACTTGTGAGCCTCAGGTGAAGCCAGCAGAACACTGGCTGTGGCATCAGCTGTTCGAGAAGGCGCCTGGTGAATGTGCACCTCCTTGGCCTATTCTATGGCTTTGGAAAGTAGATGCCGGGGCAAGGAAACTTCAGAAAAAGGCGGGGTTTTCCAACGAGCATGGTTGGAGGACGACAGCTAGGACATATTGACATACTGAAATATTATGATTTGACGGCACAACTGTGGAGGCCCAAATGCATATCTTCGACATGCCGGCAGTTCAGCAGTAAGCATAAGCTCTCTCGGAGGAGAGGCAGAGCGATGGCTGGGCGGGGGTCGACTCCGACGTCCAGGTATTGCTTTGTCCATGGAAATGCGAACATGGTCCGAAGCCCATGTCGTTTTGGAGGAGCCAGAAAGCGGGGCGCTCCGCAAGGCTGAGGAATTACTTAGCCGTGCCCTTCCCGTGCCAAGCACCCGCCGGCATGTCCTGTCCAACTGCGACTGCACCAAGGCACTGGCCCTGGCCCGGAACTCCCGGTGAAGCTCCTGTTCGGTCCTCGCAAGTGTGATCGGTTTGTCGGGTTCAATTGGAATCTTTGCCAGGTTCCGCTTGCGCAGGTACTTGGCGCAGCTCTGCTCTCAAGAGTGACCAGAGGAGGTTGTCTGTGACACTGTCGGTCTTTATCGACCTGCCGAGGAGGAGAATGCCAAGCCTTCCGGATGCGTCTCAAACCTAACCATGAAGATCCAGACTCAAATCTAAGTCGTGACGCATTCAAATGCGGAGAAGCTTCGTTGAGCACTTTAATATCTGAAGCTGCAGAGGCTTCGATGTGCAGCAGACCACGGGCACCAGGCGGATTCGTCACGGCATCACGCGGAAGTTTCAGCACTCTCGGGAGTATTCAACTGCCCCCAGAGAAAATACGGCCAGACTTGGCCAACTGCCAGTCATTGATCAGTGCCGGACGTTCCAGTTGTGATCCCCTGATCAGGTAGTTCTGGAGCTTTTGCTGCATCTTCGTGCCCTGACGAGAAGGAGAAGCATCGGTCGAGTAAGCGATTGCTGCAGATCATATCTTGTGATTACGGAACACAACATTTACTCAAACTTCCTGCTGACGTGTAACAGAGCTGTGATCAACTACGAAGTTGCTTACCGCCAAGGCGCCAATCCAAACGTTCCCGCCGACAGTGGCGCTCACGGCGTCGGTTTTACACAGGTCCAGTGTCGGCTGTTCTCCGTTCCAAACCTTGCCCTTGGCCGTCGTTCGGAGGTGGGAGCGTACCCGTTGCATCTGGCCGCAAAACGTGGCCGCCTCGAGGTGATGGAGGCCTTCTCCTGGTGAGATCCCGTGAGTGTCTTTCCTCCATGACCTGTTTTTTGCAGGTGTTGCTGAAAGCCGGTATCGGCCCGAGACCTCGTGTCTTCAAGAGCTTTTCTTCATCACGCGGTCCGAGGAGCCTGCATAGATGCGGCCGACCAAAACGGGCGGACCGGGTGCCTTGACTCATCTGGTAATATGGGGCGTCGCGAGTACAGCCGACAGCCTGCGATTCTCGCAGAGGCTTATGGTGGCAGCGGCCAGTGGACAGCGTCATGCCCAGTGGCTGACATCTAGTAAGACATCTCTGTAACGAGAGAGCTTCGCGAAGGCATTCTGCCATCCTCTGGCTGCTTTGCCATCGAGCCGTCCCTCGCCTTATATAGCATGAGTGCGCATTCCTTGCCGGAAGCTCCCCCTTTGAAAGGCAGCGGATAGCTGCACTCACTACGGCTACACGGCCCGGCCCAACGATTCAAGCGCCGAGTCGCGAGCGTTCAGGGCCGAGGCTTCGCAGAGAAATGGCCCAGGCCTTGCACTATGCGGCCCTCGTTCCGAGACCTGAGGCAGGGGATTATGAAGGGCTGGGAGGGAAGCCGCCAAGCGAGCTCGGTCGAAGGTAGTCCACGCCTTGTTAGAGGGCCGTGCTGCTTTCTCAGTGGGCATAGAACGACATGAGTTCCTGGTTCTTCCGTTGCCGCTTCGATTTATCCAGGCGAGCTCAAACGTGGTGGACCGTGAAGGTCGCAGTGCACCCTGGTGACATTTCTCTGGAGTATGCAGTATCACGTAGAAGACCGAGCGCGCCATGTTTCCGGAGCGACGAGTGATGTTCGGGTACTGCTCGAAGCCTCGGCTGTCCTAATCGCCTAAGGCTTTGCACGCAGCTCTTTCCACGCTGCCCAGAGCACGTGCATCCCTCAGAATCTGCGGCTTACACTGGGCTACGAGATACCTCCTAGGTACCGAGGGTGCCGCCGTGTCCACAAGCTGTGATCCGTCAGGCCACCCGATCCCAAGCTTAGTAAATTTTGCATGTCGGCTTCTAGCACGCAGAGTCCTGCACAAGCCGGTGTCATTCCAGCGGATAGCCAGCTCGCTTGACCACGATGACCGTGACCGAGATGCAGTCTTGACCCGCGCAGGCATTGGCGATGAGTATTGCTACGAGAATGACATCTCTCACGGTTACCGAAGGAATGAGCAGGAGGCACACGTTGCAGGGCACAGTGCAGTTCTCCGTCATTAGTGCAGGGCAGTGCAGGGGCCGCCCCTGCTTTTTTGCACACGGCAGGAGGCGCAAGTCCAGGCCGTCCAAACTGCCGTGACGGCTCTGATGCGTCGGGACACTCGGAGTCGGAAAGTCGACAAGAGGAAGAAAGGAGCAGGACGTTCAGGTTTGTGCCCTCTCAGGCCACGGAGCCGACGCGGAGCTGCGAGACGGTCCTGGCCCCGGAGCCCATGCAGCATGGGCTGTCACGACATCCGTCGGAGGACAACTACGCGTGACCCGTATGTACGCCAAGTTGGACTGTTGAGTGTCCGTTGGACCAGCGGACAGTAACAGTCTAGGGCTGCAGGCATAACACTGTAAGGCCCGGATGTCCTACCGTTCCAGACTTGCACCCCAGGCAAGATTGGCAGGGCATAGTGGAAAGTTGTACCCAAGGTTCCGGCCGCTCTGCCATCGACGTGGTTCAGGAGGGAGAGAGAGGGGGTGAGAGGGAGAGAGAGAGAGAGAGAGAGAGCGGCGATGGTCTCTCACTGACTTTCCAAGGCTTAGTGCTCCAGATCGTGTTTGCAGGTCCCGCAGGGGAAATGGAAGGCCGATAGACTCCAATGTAGGCTACAGGAGTATGCAGGGGTGCCGGTACCCATGCTATTCAATTTATCTTGAGTTAAAGGAGTGCTACAATCCAGTTGCCGGGTTTGACGTGCAGGACAAGCGCCGGGGTGACCTCGCGGAGTGGCTTCGGAAGCTGTCGGATCCGCGCTGCGAAGGCCGATCGTCCGTTGTTTCCATCATGTAAAATGCCGAACCTCAAGAGCAAAAGCAATGGCGGGACCACTAGAGGGGCTTTGCCTTCGAACGCGGTGGTGGTTGGAAAGGAGTGAAGCAACACAGAGGGAGCCAGGGTTAGATCAGACTCACTTTCAGGCCTCAGCACTTCCCGCAGCTGAAGATTGCCACGGTTTACAGGATCAACCCAAGTTCATGTTGCATACCGCTGCTGCCAACCTTGGTAGTGGATTTGTCACGATCGTGCGTGATCATCGGTGCAGCAGTCCATAGCCTTAAGCCTTGGTGCCTCCGTTTGTTTTGTGGGACATGTCAGTGGATGGTTTCATGTCCACCGCAAAACAGAGAGGAGATCTTCTTGGCCTAAGAACGTAGACCAACATGCAGAACATGTCTCTTTCGTCGTGAGTTCTCACCGCCGGAAGCCGTCCTCAACCTAAGTCGTTAATCGTTAAGCCGTTAAGCCCCCCAAATCGCCCCTGCAGCTGCGGGTCCGCTGAGCCGAGCGACTTTACTCGTGTCTGCCTTGGCTTTTATCCCAGCCTACCACTGCCTACCAGTGCCTACATGGTATATCTGCTGTCCCAGAGCCTGTCTTTGGCCCAAGGCCTACCTTGGAAACTTTGCAGCGGCGTGTTGCAGAGAGCAAAAGACCGCATCCACGTGCGTTCCTGCGTCCCATGCTGTACTGGCACTGACTCCCTTACATTGCCTTATACGCATGTTGTGCAGTCCGAGGCTTGTCCTGTCCGCAGCTGTTCGGTGGATCAAGACGCACTTGAAGCACACTTACAACACGCACGATGCCGGTTTTGTCGCTCGTTGATGCGGACCTGCGCGGGCCTTGAGGGTGAAGAGGCGTGAAGCGGTGCTAGACTCGCTCGTTGAGAGGCCCATGAAGAGACCAACGTTGGCGACCAAGTGCCAAGCGCCGGACATCATTGTTGCCGTCCTCGCACTGGTGCGCCTACTGAATCAGGCCTGTGTTGTCGTGGCAAGCACTTTGGAGCCGCCTGCGCCGTCGTGACGTAGTGGCTGCCGCAGCATTTTGCAACATGCCGTTGTTTTTAGGAGCCACATTTCCATCATGGCCATGGAAGAGGGGCAGGCATTTGCCGGGGTTGCTACTGCTTCAAGGTGGAGCGGCAAACCCCGGCAGATCTGGGTGCACCGCCCGGGTTGCCAGTGCCACAGGCAAGGCAGGCTTTAAAAGTTTCTTCGTGAAGCAATCATGGCTGCCTCTTCAGAGATTAATGGCCCGTAACGGTGGATTAGGGTGCACCGCCCGGCTTGCCGCCGCCGCAGGCAAGGCACGATTGAAAAGTTTC